GTTTAGGGCCTGTAGTCCCTCAGAATTACAGGTCTGCCCCTCGCGAATTTCCCCACAGGCAAGTCACTCGGTTAGCCCTCAGCCAAACAAAATTGCGAATCTAACCCTACGGTTAGTGTACAGCCTCGCAGACAAACTCGGCAGCAGAAATCAGCAAGTCATTGCAGGCTTACCCTCCCCGGGAGCGAGGACCTCCGAGCTAGGGGTGCAGACGAGGTGAGCGGCGAAGATTACCCTTCTGAGCCACCTCATACCGCAGAACTACAGACTTTGCTGTCTTGATCAAGTCTCTTTTGTAGAACCATTGGTTCTCAGAAGGCGGCTGCAATGCAAACGTGACAAGATACTGCCGGTCGGGGCCAATGCCCCACTCATCCTCAATGGCCACCACATCATATCCCTTACCAGGGATTGGTGGGCCCCATTGAGGAGGCCGGTCAGGGAATGCATCAGCTGGCGTGAAAGGCAACAGCTTGGATGCATGGAAGACCGGATAGGTGCGTAGATGCAGCGGGACGTCGATGACATAAGACGGACCGAAGGGGTCAGCGCCCACTGTATCTAGGACCTGCCACGGACCCAGGTAGCGCGGCAACAACTTGGGAGAAATATCCTCCTCCCTCGACAACTCAGAACTGGCCACCCAGACATAGTCACCAGTACGGATGGGGGAAGGCCGCCTGTGGCGGTTGGCTTGTCCAATCATGGCCTTTTGGGCCTTCAACAAGTTCGCCCGGGCTCTTTCCACATCCAGACGATAGCGTCTGGCGAACTCTGCAGTGCCTGGGGTAAGGTCAGGCTTAGCCTTATCGATGATATCATCGAGAGGCTATCGTGGTTCACATCCCCAATGTAGTCGGTAGGGACTGAACCCTGTCGAGGAGTGGACAGACATGTTATACATGAGTTGTGCCCTCGCAAGGTGGAGATCCCAGTCCTGCTGATCTGGAGAGATCACAGGACGTAGCAGCTGGAACAGGACTTGGTTCATCACTTCAGCAAATCCATTGGCTTCAGGATGACGACCAGAAGTCATGTCGAGGCGTGAGTGCAGATAGTCCTTGCAGTAGGACTGCCACTCATCGCTACAGAATCTCGGGTCTCGATCACTAACAATAGAGGTGGGCGGTCCATGGTGTGTGACCCACCTCTCAGGAAAGGCTGCTCTCACAGCCGGTACCCTGGCTACCTCTGGCAAGGGGATGAACTCTGCGTATTTGGAAAACCTGTCCGCGCAGACCATAACCTGACGCATGCCACGAGGGGTAGTCTTGCCTAAGTTTGTAAAATCAATGGATACAGACTGGGCAGGACCATCAGGTATGGGCAAAGGTTTGAGCAATCCCAAACGAGGTTTACGCTGAACCTCGTTCCTTTGGCAGAGCTCACAGGTGTCCACATAGCGCAGCATATCACTCCGCATCTCCTTCCAGAAGAAGCGCTGCGACAGGGCTGCATACGACTTTAAGAACCCAAAGTGTCCACGCGGGTCGTGGCCCTCTGACATCAGTAGTGTCCGCATCTGCTGATCCTCAGGGATGCACAAGCGCTCCTCTCCTCTGCAGTAGGTATACAGCAGACCTGAACTCAGGGCATAGTCGGGTTCAGAGTTGGGATCTGCTTGCAAATTCCTGACAATGGGTCCATAAGTCGGATCCTGAGGCAGTGAACGAGCAATGGTCTGACGGACCTCCTCTCCAAAGGAATGAGTAGAGGAGATCAGCGCAAAAGAGTCAGGCCTACGAGAGAGCGCGTCAGCTACTTTGTTGTAGCAGCCCTTCTTATGCTTCAGTTCAAAGTCAAACAGATCAATGAACTGAATATAACGTGCCAACTTATCATTTAACTCTCCCTGGGACTTCAACCAGTGCAAAGTGGAATGATCAGAAAAGATCTTGAAGTGCCTGCCCAGGAGAAAGTGTTTCCAGTGTTTCAGGGCACTGACAAGAGCATAAAGCTCTTTCTCGTAGGTAGAATCCTGAAGCTTCTGAGTCTTGATCTTCTTGCTCATGAACTCTACAGGTCTCAGACCATTCCCATCATCCTGCTGAAGGACTGCCCCAATGCCTTACTGGCTAGCATCAGTAGTCAGCACAAAAGGCAAGGTGGGGTCAGGCAACTTCAGAACAGGTGCACGAGTCAAGGCCTGTTTGAGTCGTGCAAAGGCCATCTGACAGTGAAGGGACCAAAGAAAGGGAGTATCTTTCTTTGTAAGGTTAGTCAGGGGTGCAGCCACTGCAGAAAAGTTTCTGACGAACTTCCTGTAGTAGGAGGCCAGACCCAAGAATGACCGGACGTCTCTCATTGTCTGGGGTTGTGGCCAATCCTGAATAGCAACAATCTTGGCTGCTTCAGGGGCCGGTTCATCTCCAGAGATCACATGACCTAGATAGATAACAGAGGGAACTCCAAAAGAGGACTTCTCCCTGTTGATCTTATACTGGCTGTCACGTAATGACTGAAGGACCAGAGCCAGGTGCTCCGCATGTTCCCTGGTAGTTTTGCTGAATACCAGGATATCATCCAGGTAGACAACCATAAACTTATCCAGGTACGGCCTGAACATGCGGTGCATCTCTGTCTGGAATGTACCAGGTGCATTGCAGAGTCCAAATGGCATCACCAGGTACTCATAAGTACCATACCTGGTTTTGAAGGTCGTCTTGTGGACGTCCTCCTCTGCCATCTCAATCTGGTGGTAACCAGATTTGAGGTCGACTTTGCTGAAGATGGTGCAGCCCTGGACCATATCCAGAAGGTCATCGATCCTAGGAAGTGGCTTTGTGCTCTTCCTAGTGATCTTGTTGAGACCCCTGTAGTCTATGCACATTCTGAACTCACCACTCCCCTTTRGAACAAAGAGGACTGGAGCACCGAACTCAGAAGTGTTGGGCCTGATCCAGCCCTTGCTAGTCAGGGTCTCAAGCTGTCGCCTGAGCTCCTCAAGCTCAGCAGGTGACATCCTGTAGATGCGGCCCTTGGGAGGGACCGCTCCAGGCAGCAGCTCAATACGATGCTTGGTTGGCCGGTTGGGTAACCCAAAGGGCTCCTGCATCAGATCAGCATACTGGTCCACAACCTGTTGTATCTCAAAAGGACAGGGAGCAGAGGGAGCGTCTGTCCGCTTGACCAGAGCGATGAACAGACGCTCATGATCATACTGGCGAAAGAGAGTATAGAACTCTCTCGCTCTCAGGTAGAAGCAAGATGTCTGAGGGTGGTAATCAGCTGCAAGCATACAAGGTTGATATACCCCCTTGCTGTTTGGCAGTTCAACCTTGGGGATCTGCCAGTCGATCCTTGGGTTGACTGCTCTCAGCCACCGCATAGAGAACACAAGGTCAAGGGGGAGGTCAGGGAAAATGTAGAAGTTCACACTATGTCTGACTTCTCCAACACTGTCGAAGGTAACAGGGATGCCCCTGACCTTCTCCCTGATGGTCAGAACAGTGGAGTCCCCGATGCGGACCTGCAGCGGTTGCTGCAGCTGCACCACTTTCATGCCCAGATGCAGTTTTTGGACTGCACTGGGAGAYATGMAGTTGCGAGTGGCTCCACRGYCTAATAGCCCTTTGATCCTGCGATGGTTGATCAGGGGCCGAAGCAGGATGAGATCAGACTTGTTCTGCTTTTGTTCTTTCAAATGAAAGAAAAAAGCAGCAAGAGTCTGACACTCAGACTGGTTCGGTTCCTGATCCGGGTCAGGATCCTCATAGGTAAAGGATGCTGCCCGCGCAGCTCCCACACTGGATGGGAAGGAAGAAGTCTCAATTGAAGCTGTTGCAGCTGCAGATGCAGTTGCAGCACTGGAGGGAACTGCTGTCTCCAGGTTCAGCTTCAGTTTTTTTACTGAGCAAGGCTTGGCATGTAGGGACAGTCCTTCAGGAAGTGTTGTCCCTCACACCTCAAGCAGACACCTCTCTCCTTCCTCTTCCTCCACACTCCCTCCTGGATCTTCAGATCATGCCATGGGAGAGTGTTGGGGTTCAGAGGGTCTGCTGGGAAGTGGACGTCACGTGGCAGATTAGGGCGCCGGGCAGGGGTTGAAGAGCGACGTGGGTTGAAGAGCGACGTCCCTGGCTCTTCCCCTTGCTGCTGGAGGCTGTGCTGGAGGCAGATCCGGCCTTTTGGAAGGCCCCCAGTGCAGCCTGCAGCTGCTGGACAACTGCTGCAACATCTGGAACAGCAGCTGAAAAAGTCCCAACTGGCGGTGTACCAGGCTGGGAACCTGTGTCAGAGGCTGACCCAGATCCCGCATATGCAAAGGCCGCCTTTCCCTTTCTACCACCGCGAGGGAAGGCGCCTCTCCTCCTGTCACTGGAGGGGGCCTGAACATGAAGCTTAGCTTCCATGTCCAGGGCTGCACGTCCAAATGATCTCCAGTCTTTGTGACCGGCGTTGTACAACGCAACACAAAACTTTTCAGGCACAACCCTGCAAAAGTTAGTCAACAGATCATCTGCAGACATCGCCAAACCAGGGGTGGAAGTCAGTTGTTCAAATTCAGCAAACAGGGCCTGCAGACTGCCGCTGTAACGCTGCTGGCCCAGGCCCACTATATTATCAGCAGCTTTGCGGACTCTTTCTTTGTCTGCAAACCGATCTTCCAGGGGCTGTAAAAGTTTGTCAGCCCCCAGTGCCAGGGCCCAGTCCTCCAAAGTCTGATTTTGGGCACTTGCTGTAGAGGTGGCCCATTTCTGGGCAGGCCCCTCCAGCAGACCCACAACAGTGGCCACCTTTTGCTGCTCTGGGCACTGGAACCCCTTCAGATAGGCCCGCGTTCCAGCAGTCCAATCCCCCACATCAATCTTGGGGTCATCCCCCTTGAATTTGCTGGGGGCACGAATTTTGGGACCTCTGTTGTTCCCAGCAACAACAGCAGCAAAGGTGGGAGGAGGTGTGGCTTTGGCCTGGGAGGAGACAGTGGGAGAAGCCTTGCGCGAAGAGTGAGGAGATCCAGAGGATGGAGGTGGAGAAGAGGGCTGAGAAGGCTGTTTAGGTTTTAGAGTGGGGACCACAAGGACCAGGGGACTGATGACATTCGTTGTTGTTAACTGAGCAGTCAGATTCTGGATAGCATCCAGGATCTTTGACTGATGAGTTCCCAGATCCGCCACTCTGGTCTCCAGCCTCTGGATACTCTCATCCCAGTTTGTAAAGTGGTCGACGGTTAGCTTGTCCTGCAGGAGGACCAGCTCAGCCAGGTCCCTTGTACACTGGGCCACTCTAGTATCTGCAACAGTCCTCTGGGCCTGCTGCAGCAGATGTTCTTTTCTAGAAGCATCTATTGCAGCTTCTAGTTCAGCAGCCTCCTGTTTCTCGGCTTCTGCGAGCAGCGCCCGTTGCTCTCGCAGCTTTTCCTGGATCTCTCTCTTGCGCCGCTGCGCAGGGGTCAGAGGAGGGGGAGGTGGTGTTGTGGATGAGGGTTCCCCTTCAGCCTTAATCACGACCTCAACCTTCCCTGCACCTGTGTCAGCTGCGTCAGACATTTTCCCTCACAGACAACAATAAAACAAAATGAAACAGCAGGGGGTGCAGCGATTTACAGATCACACAGACACTCAAATTTCGCTGCACTGTCAGTTCACAGAGCAATGTGGGTTAGTGGGCACAACCAGTTAGGGTCGGAACAGGACTACTGGGGTCAGTAATCAGGTTGACAGGGTGTCCAGTAAAACCATTCACTAACGATTTCCTATACCTGACACTGAACTTTTACTGAAGTTGCAACATGCAGTTTCACAACATTCCAGGGGTCACTAGTATTCCAGAGCCCATCAAAAAGCAGCGTAGATTAGTAGTACTGATAAGAAAAGGCAAGAATTGACTGAAACATAGCAACAGGTAGTAGCGATTGAGTAGCCTACTCCCTGACAGCCCCAAACTCAAATTTCGCCAGTGTTGACTTCAACAGAAATTACCCCAAATATGGCGAATTTCAGGAATGCACTGTAATGACCCAAATACAGTGTTTCTGGACTAGCGCTCTAGCACGGTTGCTAAAAATAGAATTGCGATTCACCCCATACTGACAGACTTGAATTCTGACGGTCAGATTTTGAGTTGTGACTGACCCTAGGTAGCCTAGACTATAAATAGACTCAGCGCAAAACTCAAATCCACAGTATCACTGTCTTTTCAATACAGAATTCACAGAATGAGCATACAGGATGCAGCGCAATACTGTAAAGCAGTCCCAGAACAATTTGGAGTCAGAACAGGTTAGTAGATGAAGAGATATGAGTCAGGGTAGGGAGGAAGAAGATGGATATGGTTGTCCTGCAGTCTGACAATTTCACGATTGTTGCAGTACTGACAGATAGACCATCAATCCTATTTTCACTAATTCTATACTAATCGCTACTCAGGGACTCATGTGGAACGAACTCACTTGAAGTACAATCCTCAGTGGGTGATGAAGCTTTGGCTATGGCTGCCAAACCCTGGTCTCGCCAGTACTTGCAGACAGTCTTCCAGAGCTTCCCACGTACAGAATCTCCTGAAACTTGTTGATCTGCTCCAGTATGATGAGGCGATTCACCCCCAGCTCTCAGATACACTGAATCTGCCCCAGTGGCAGGAGAAAACTCTCCTGAAGATATCTCGCCACTGCAAGGTATGAGCCGCTGGTGCTAAACTTAGCCCTGGGTAGGGTTAATTTAGCAGGAGGGGATCCTGCAATCAATCCTCCCTCAGCGCTCTGCTGGGATTGAAGCCGCCACCCAGTAATCACTGGATTAGGGTAAACTTCGCCACCCTAGACCCAGTCATCAACTGCGGTCAGGAGGGTGGATGGCGAAATAACCCTCTTCTCGCCACTTCCTGTCAGGCACACAGACAGGCTTAGGGTGCCTGATCAATCGCAATTGATGTTCCTGCAATCACCGCTTGTATCCCTTCTTCCTTACTGGATAGTCACTAGAGATGGAGAACCACCATGGATCTTCTCGCCATTTCGAGTTACATGAAGAAGGTGCCCCTGTTGCGCTAAACCCTCTGAGCTCCAATTCCAAGCTCCGCTCTGATACCAACTGTTATGAACTTGGTTGTCTGACACTTTAATTGCCACTCTCACTCAGAAGAACTCACACACGCCCATACATGCATGAGACAAAGGGGAGAAGGAG